TGTTTCTTTCTCTAGTCCCAGTTCTCTCCCCACCCAGAGATGAGAGCGTGCATTTAACATAATCTTTGGTGCTGTCCCTGTACTTCATAGGACACGTGTACCTGTAAACTACGTGTGCACCTTGGGCATTTAAAAGTCCCGTGTCAACGCTGCAGGTCTTTCTGTGTTGTCATCTGTGTTGTTGGTGAGCTCCTTCCAAGAATCCTCAGGCAGATGTGTTCAGTCAGTGACGCATTCATTTAGTTGCTTTACTTCATTAGTTGATATGTTCATTTAGTTCATTTAGACTGCTGGAGGACTCCATTTTGGGGGCACATGGCTGTCCGTTGGCAGCGGTTTTCTAGGTTACTGATGGTTTCTCATTTTACAACCAGTTCTGCTGTGTATGTCCTTGCACCTGTCCTTTGGTGCAAGTGTGAGTGTCCTGGGATGTCACCTGGAAGGAGAGTTTCTTATGATCCCACTGTACAGACACGTTATTGAGTTGCACTTTGTGGCAGCTGTAGCAACTGAGACTCCTGCCATCAGTGTGTGAGAGTGCCTGTTTTCTTTATATCTTTGCCAATTTAGTGAATGATGTGGTCACTTATTTTAATTTGCATTTCCCTGGGAATGTTTGGAATGTGTGAATTAATGGAAGATGATTACATTCCGTCTTCCCTTTAAGGATAAATGACTATTGAAATGCATTTCTTAAACTTAGATTTTGAAGGAGCATTTTAACTTAAGCACAAGCAGCAATAATGATGTCCTGTCCTGGTTCATTTTCTTTTGTATTTTGAGTATTTTGCTCTGAGGCCGAGTGACTGCTTGTAAGTAGGGTAAGACTGCACTGGCTGCAGGAGGGAGAGTGTTTTGTTTGTTCTGTTGTACACCCTTCCTTTGAAGAAAGTGTCTAATGTGTTTGTCCTTCTGAATTTTAACTCTCAGGGCTGCACTGGGATATAGTTTCCTGGATATTGGGACAGTCTTCATGGATTCTCTTATGTTTTTTGCTTGACTATTTGGTTTAGTTTTTTTCTTTTCTTAAGGCCCCTGTTGAAGATTCTCACCTCTTCTCTAGTCCTCCTAGAGCTCTCCACCATAGCAGAGACCTACCTTCCTTCCCTGCTAGCCTTTTTAGAACACACAGCATCCTGTTTGAGTATTCTGAATACCCCTTGTTGCTTTGAAATCATGACTGTTCATTTCTTACATAAACAGTTAACATTGGTTTGGTTCCAAATATCTGAAGGTTTGTAAACAATTCAGTTTCTGTGTATTTAAAAGTCATCTCTGTAGTCCATTCAAATGTTTACATTTTAGGGGTTGAGTATATGGTAGTATTTGAGTATACCTCACTTTTATCACTCTGTTCCCGTTCTCCAGGAAGAATACAGAAATTCCATGCCTGCATCCAGTTTTCAACAGCAGAAGCTGCGTGTCTGTGAGGTCTGTTCAGCCTACCTTGGTCTCCATGACAATGACCGTCGTCTTGCAGACCACTTCGGGGGCAAGTTACACTTAGGGTTCATTCAGATCCGTGAGAAGCTTGACCAATTGAGGGTATGTTAATGTCCTGTGTTTCTGAAGAAACCTGAAAAGTCTTGTGATCACCTTCACATTTCCTTGCTTGTAGAAAGCCTTAATTTGCGATCCTAAGATCATGCCTTGGGTTTTGTGGTGAACTACTCAGAGTTCATCAGTTTGTGCACGTAAGAGACCTGAGATCGCAGAATCTAGCAGGGCCTTCGGTATTTATTTAGTCTGTAACCCCTTGTGTACAGAAGAAAATGACAATATCCGGTTCCAGGGTACAAGACAGTTCTTGCACACCTCTGGAAAAGCTTATTTGGAGATGGGAAGGAGCCAGTAAGTAGTCTGTAGTTTTTCTTTTCAGACAGAGGCCAACACATGGAGGGGTGATCAGGCTAGAAGGACGAGAAGATGGTGGGGGGTTTTATGATAGCCCTGTCCCACCACTGATGCCTCTGTCCCTTCCTCATGTTAGGCTTTAAAGTATTAGATATCCTAGGTATAGAACGCTGAGAAGGAGGGTTAAACAGGTTTCATATATTATGAGTTGTCTTCTTCAAACTGACGGAACCTTCCCTATTGGGTACTAGACCCTACGATGGGCTGCTAGGAAACATGCAGGCCTTCTCTCCAGACACCTGACATCCGTGGAAGGACAGATACATGGTATCTGACTGTAGGACACCACAGTCAAGGCCTTGGGCCTTGTGGCCCTCAAGAAGGTGCAACAGGTGGCAGAGCCCTGCACACAGGAGGGGTTCCACAGTAGGTGATGTGTGACTTGGCACTAAGAGAGGGAGTTGGGTGGCAGTGAGGATATTCTCACCACTGATCTTGAAACATTTTGCTCCTGTGCTCCGAGTAGAATTTTGGAAGATGATACTCTTTATCACACATTTTTAAGTTGGAATTTTTTAAATTATGTTTATCAGCATAAAACATGTAGAGTATTTTATATGTACCCAATAGAATATAAAATAACAATTTGGTATCAACTACCATCACCATTAAAAATCTGCTCCTTAGCAGTTGGAATTGTTGCATCCCATTTTTCCTTTAAATTGTATTTTCATTCCATAACATCCCCAAATTTTGTCCTAATAGTTTTTATACTTGAAAGCGTTCTGTTTTTTTTTTAAGATGTATCTTTGCATCAGGATATACTGAAACTTCCCCCCCTGAAACCTGAAGAACTTAAGTATTAACTTAATGTGGAAATCATGTTTTATCACTGGTCTAATGAACAGCATGTAGTTGATAGAACAACACAGATAAATTATGGATTTTGATAAATAGTCATTAAACTATTGACAGAAAATATATTTGGAAGTGTACCTCTTAACGATGAGGAGGGTGGGAGTCCTGTGCCCTAATTGGAGATGGGTTTGCTCACAGTGGTCCCAAGGGTGTTCACACCACAGGGCCCCACACCAAGGTAGACGTAAGATGGTAAGAGGCAGGGCTTTTGTCAGGTAGGGGAACATGGTGTTTTAGGGAACAGGGACGGTTTGCAGAGATGATGCCAGACCACAGGCCAGATGAACAAAATCAGAGGGGAAGAGTTAGAGGTGCCAGGTGGGAAGGTTCTTGCACCTGAGAGTGCTCTGAGGAGGAAAATTTGCCTCTCTCCCCATCCTTGCTATGCCCTCTCTTCCAGAGGGCCTGAGAGTTAAAGTCATCCCCCATAGACCTTTGTCTGTAACTCTTCCCCCTACGTTACCCTCTGGGGGCTTCATTTCCCTTGGCAGAGCGATGAGGGGATGGGAGCATTGAAAGGTTCTGATGTGGGGGTCTTTTGAGCTAAGCTGTGTGGATGGTGCTCCAGTAGAGGGGTTTCTAGGCCACTCCTGCCTGTTGGGCTTCCTTTTCTGTTGCACTCAGCACAATTGAGCTTGATGCGACAAGTGTGGAGCTGATGGTCCACCTCCCTGGCTTGCTGTCCCCGTGAGGTCATCAGCATCCCAGAACAGGGTGCTCCTTGGCAAGAGAGCTTGCCTCCCAGCAGCAAGATGTGTTTGGTCAGGTACACGTGTTCTCTTTTACACAAAGTTTGTGGAGTCTCCTTTGGGTAAAAAAGTAACTTTCTGGATTGATTTGAAGCAATGTGATAAACTTTCTATGACTTACAAGTACAGCACCTTCTAGAATACACAGTTTGTCATTGAATTTATAAACTGTAATAGTTTTTTTTTCCCCACATATTTTCCATCGTTTAAAAGATTTTAAAAAGAATTGTGTTTCTGTGTCCTGAGTTTATCTTAGGTTCTTAAATTGTCAATACCAAGGTCAAGGTACTTTGTTAAACAACTTTTGCACTCTACTTTCTGTAACTTCCTTTTATCTTTCAATTTTTCGCTTATTTAGAAAACTGTGGCTGAAAAGCAAGAGAAGAGAAATCAGGATCGACTGAGGAGGAGAGAGGAAAGGGAGCGGGAGGAGCGGCTGAGCAGGAGGTGAGCCCACTGTGATGTGGCCTAGGGAAACACTCCTCATTTCTATGCCCCGTTGCTTGTGACGCTTGAGGTCTGGCTGGCCCCAGAGAACCTGTGCACAGCTGTGTGGCGAGGACAGTGCCATCCAAGCTGCATGAACAGCTGTGGTGAATTCATTCTCGCCTGTAAAGGTGTGGCCCTCAGAAGGACCTGCTGCTCATGCCTCCTGTGGTTTTAACGCTTGGCCCGGAAGACAGGCAGGAGCTGATATTCCGGAAGGGAGCCCACTCTCACACTGTCACACCCACAGTGGGCACGACCCACCTGGGAAAGGCTCTGGTGTGGGTGAGAGGTGGAAGCAGTGAGAACATGAGCTGGCCGGGAGGGTCCAGGGCCAAGGAGGTGGCAGTTTGAACCATGGGAGAGCAGGAAGGGTCTGGATGTGTTCTGAGATAGAGCTGATAGGATTTGCTGGTAGATGGTTGGAGGGGGAATGGAACTGGCCTCATGGTTTCTGATCTGAAGGTGGGGGCCACTAGGGGCATTGTACTGGGGTGAGGAAGAGCTGGGGAATAGAGTTTCGCTCTGGCCATATTTGAGATGCCTAAGAGACATCCAGGTGGAGACTCAAATCTAGTCAGAGTTCAGGGTAGAGGCTGGAGCCAGCAGTGACCATGCTCTCGTGTTGGACACAGCTGCTTGTCCTTGAAAGGCCAGGAACGGCTTTCCTGAAGGAATTCCTCAGGATCGCTCTGGGCAAATGTTTGTTGTGTATTTTGTATTTTCATTATTTTAATTATCTAACATTCTGATTTATTATAAAGAGACTAAAACAATACAGAACTGTATTAAGCAAAACACACAAGGGTCTTTTTATACAGAGGTGACCACTGTCGTGGGATGTGTTGTGTGCACAGGTACATGGCTTCCACATGTAAGACCTTCCCATAGCAGGTGTGCTCTTGATGGCTACACAGCACCCTGCAGTGATCTTGTACTCAACTGTCCTTTTTACCCTCCACTTTTACCCTTTTTGCACACCCCTCCCCCACCTCTTTCAACCACCAGTCTTCTCTGTGTCTATGAGTTTGATTTTTTTTTTTTGATTCTACATAGAACTGAGGTCATACTGTATTTATCTTTTTCTATCAGACTTGTTTCATTTAACATAATGCTCTCAGGGTCCATCCATGTTGTTGCAAATGGCAGAATTTCCTTTTTTTTAATGGCCAAACAACACCTTTTGTGTGTGTGTGTGTGTGTGTGTGTGTGTGTGTGTGTGTGTATCTGTGTGTATATATATATACACACACACATCATTTTTATCTGTTTGTCTGTCAGTGGACACTTAGGTTGTTTCCATGTCTAGGCTGTTGTAAATAATGCAGCAGCGAACATGGGGGTATAGGTATCTTTTCGAGGTACTGATTTTTTCCTTTGGGTAAATACTGAGAATTGGAATTGCTGAATCATATGGTAGTTCTGTTTTAATTTATTTTTTGTTTGTTTCAAACTAGTTGATTTAAGGGTTCCATTTTCACTCTTCAGTAGATTTTATGTATTTCTCATATGCTTCTTCACTCATTAGTTCATCTAGTTCTGAAGGATTACTGAGTGTCATCTTGATCAGCCAACCATCTTCATAACAAGATTTGTTGACAAGTCTTGGATTTTCTGCTAGAGCTTCATTAATTTCAGTAAATTCTCCAGATAGAGGAGAATAGAATTCACTAGCAGCTTTCACACTTTCCAAAGCACCAAACTCCTCTTGTTTGTTCAATTTTGTCCCAACTTCAGACAGACTACAGTAAACAACATCTCCCCAAGCTTCCTGTGCAAAATTGCTGATTCCCACTATTCCAACACCGTTTTCTTTCGTTATCCATTCATGTTTGTCTGTGAATTTGCGCACGGGGAGCAGAGCCGGGCCAGTGCGCAGCATCTGGACTGCGTCCACCCGCAGCCCGCAAGGCCACGGCAGGCAGGGTGCAGCAGGCGCAGAGATGGCGCTCAGGCTGCAGACTGGCCCGCGTGCTGTGCGCCGCTAGCAGTGCCGTGTTCGCAGGGGTGCAGAGGGTCGTGGTGCAGCACCTCGGGTACCCCAGCTGGCCGGGGTGTGTCGGGGGTGGCCCCAGGCCGGAGCTAGCCAGAGTGAGCTGGCTGGACTGGGATGGGGGCCTGTTTTAATTTTTTTGAAGAATTTCCACATTGTTTTTCCACAGTGGCTGCACCAGTTTACATTCCCACCAACAGCGTACAAGCCCACATCCTCGCCAACACTTGTTATTTCTTGTCTTTTTTGATAATAGTATTTGACAGGTGTGAGGTGATATCTCATGATTTTGATTTGCATCTCCCTGATGATTAGTGATGCTAAGCATCTTTTCATGTTCTTGTTGGCCCTCTATGTCTTCTTTGGAAAGATGTCTATTCAGATCCTCTGCTCATTTTTTAATCGAATTTTTTTTTCTGTTTAGAGTTATATGAGTTCTTTATATATTTTGTATATTAGTCCCTTGTCAGATACGTGTTTTGCAGATATTTTCTCCCATTCAGTATGTTGCATTTTTATTTTGTTGATGGTTTCCTTTACTGTGCAGAAGCTGTTTAGTCTTAACGTCTCAGTTGTTGGCTTTTGCTTTTGTTGCCTTTGCATTTTAATTTTTGAGGACTAAGTTTTTATAAAGCGATTTTTGAATGAGTACTCTAGTGATTATCTTTGTATATTTTGAGGGTTTATAACATTACTTAGAATTATGGGGATAAAGGAATTTAATATATAAATATTGATAGATTTTATAAAAATTGCTTTCCAAGGTGCTTTATCATATCACCCTCCGGCAACATGGTGTGTGAGCATCTTTTGTCACTTCCTCCTCAGCACAGGTTGGTGGCACCCTCTTAGAGCAGGGTGTGAAATGACACCTTGTTGTGCATTTCTTGGGTTGCTGATTGTATAATGTTTCCTAAGGAGCTCATGTGACCCTCACTGGCAGTGAACCTGTGTTTGGAAGGTGAATATTCTTCTCAATTCTCTCTTCTGCCATGTGAGTGTCTGCATAGTTGAGCTGGTGTCCACTGTGAAGAGTTTGCAGAGCCTCTAGTTAAACTCAGTGCAGCATGGACCCCTGGGGGCTGGGGCTGGGGGCAGGCCTCCTGGCGTGTCTCTGTTGGAAGTTGGCCCTTCTTCACCATGTGGACTTGGCGTACCTCCCCTCAAAAGTAAGGGAAGGGGCTGTTGTGGGGAAATTATTCATCTTTTTCTCCATTTTAGGTCTGGATCAAGAACCAGAGATCGCAGGAGGTAGGTTTCCAGATCTGTTAGAGCCTTCTCAGTAAGATATTCTTTTCCGCATGTGTTTTTCTTAATACTCAACATTGGTAACGTCACAGTTATTATGTGGTGGTCAGGGATGGCTCATAAAGGGCACAGGACATGGGTGAGACTCAAATCCTGTGTGTAGTTGGGGTAGGTTGGGGACTAGTGCAGCTTGGGGATGGGGAGTCCATTGTCCATGAAGGGGACGATCAGGGCCCCTCTGAGGCCTGTCTGTCGGGCAGCTGGGAATTTCCTGGCAAATTTTCAGGAGGCATCGGTGGGAAGGGTCTGGCCATAACCATTCTTGTAATAGATGGGACTGTTAAGACCAAGTTGTCAGTTTGTGGGAGAATAGGAGAGACGGCAGTAAAGCATCAGCAGAGCATGTCCACTGCAGGTCGCGTTCCCGGGACCGGCGTCGGAGGCGGTCAAGATCTACCTCCAGAGAGCGGCGAAAGTCTTCCCGGTCCCGGTCCCGAGACAGACACCGGCGCCACCGAAGCCGCTCCCGAAGCCACAGCCGGGGCCACCGCCGGGCATCCAGGGACCGGAGTTCAAAATACAAGTAACTACTCTGACTCCTTCAGTAGCTGCAACCAGGAGTGAGCCCCTTCTTGTATGCAAGGGTCTGGGGGTCTGTCATCTGTGGGACTGAGTACTAAGACCTTGAGGCACCAGGAACCTTAAGCCAAGAGCAGCAGATGGATTCAGGACTGGGACTGTGGAGGGCAATAGAGAGGGTCCCACATGGGCATGGGCGTGCTCAGGGCAGCACGCTCACTGTCGTTTTGGTACACAGAGCCCCTCCTTACCTCTGTCATGGTTTTTTAAGGGAAAAACAAACCCACCACTAATAGTCTTACTCAGAGATGACCACTGTAGGCTTTGGTAAGATTGATTTTAAATACTGTTTTTTCCATTACTTATATAATGGATCATGTTCCACGTGTGAACTTTTGTATTTTCCTTTGTGCTGTTTACATTGTGGTGAAACCTTCCCTGTTATTGGAAACCTTTGCAAATATCACTTTCTAGTGGCTGCCTCACAGTCCCTGTCAGCGGGTTGAGCACAAGACAGCAGGCCGGTCTGCCCTCTGGCCTGCTGGGGGCCCTCCTAGCTATGGTGGGTCTTGGCCCTCCCTGACCTGGTCCAAGGTGTCGGTACCTGAGTTGCAGCCAGAAGGGAGTGCCAGCCCTCGCTGAGCCTCTGGTTCCCTTTCCCAGGTTCTCCAGAGAGCGGGCCTCGAGGGAGGAGTCCTGGGAGCGCGGGCGGAATGAGCGGGGGACCACCGACTGGAGGCTGGAGAGTGCCAACGGGAAGGCCGCTTCTCGGAGGTCGGAGGAAAAGGAGGCCGGCGAGATCTGAACCTACCCCAAGGAGCTGTAAATAGTCCAATGAACGTCTGACACAGCCTAACGTTACCTTTATATTTGCTGAATACAACTCATCTTTTGTAGTTTAACATTTCTATTGTTTTGGAGCTAGCTGTGAATTCCTAGAGATGTACAGAGTTGCCCATGTGTTCTGGGATATGTTGAGTGGGAATAAACAACCTGACAGACTGCCTCCTGACGGCCGCTGTGCGGTCTCTGCTGTCCCTGGTGCACTAGACATCATTGAGGCTTCCACGGGTGGGGGTGACACATGGGGGTCCATCTCTGAGCTCATCCTAGAGATGTGACTTGCTGTTGGACTCCCTTTGACTTTGGGCATGTGACATGCTGCATGCCCTTGACCCCCAGATGGGCTCGAGCCAGATGTGTCCAGTCGTCTGCTCTTGGCTCCACGTGTCCTTCCTGTGTGTTGGAGCTGCCCTCTTCTGCACCCATTTCTCTGGAGGGCTGCCTGTCTGGGTTTTGGTCAGCAGCTTCAGCCTGGTGCTTGAGTGCAGAGGAGCTGCAATCCCCTCTTTTGGAGTTACTTAGAGCAAAGAAAGGCCCTTGGACAGTATCCACATGACAGCCATGAGGTCCTTAGAGAAGGGCGTGCTGGCTTTTGGGTCAGGGTCTGGCTTTACTCACACGTAGGGAGAGCTGGTGGTGGTACCCACCCTCCCTCAGCCCTTCTGCATGTACCAAGAGACTTAAGTCAGCCCTTCTGAAAAGTGTAACTGGGAGCTCTTTCCTCTTTCCACTTTCTGCAGGGAGGAGGTTTATTTTTTGACGGAGCATCTGATGGCTACATTGTGAAAGTCACCCCCACCCCTCTGCAGAGCCTGCTTGGCTCATTGGGTACATGGACACTGGGTCTGGAGCATGTGGCCACCAGTGCCATGATGTGCTCCAGGCTCACCTGCGACAGTCTGTCTCATTCTGGGAGGACGTGGGTCAGTGGGCTGCTCTGCTGCCCTGTGATGTGGGTCTTCCCTGGCCAGCTCTCCACGGGAAGGGGGTGCAGTGTCAGGATGGTGTCCCTCCACACAAGGAGCACTACCCTGACCCAGGCTGGGTTAGAACACTGGAACATCTGTTCACAGTAGGAGACTACCAAAAAGCAAGGGTGAGTATTTCTGCTTGGGGGGTGGTATGGATGCAAGTTACCTGGGAGGAGGTGCCCCCTTCCTGTGTTTGGGAAGTGGGTACAAGTTGGTGGAAAGCCTTGAGTGGGAAAAAGGTGGTCCTGGGAGGGAATGAGAGCTGGGATCGTGGGTTCCCAACTCAGCTCTTCAGCCCGGCCTGTGGTGGTCAGGGGCTGGACTGAAGCAGGCAGCGTTGGGGGCACAGCCGGGAGCCGGGCTCACACAGTACCTCTCACCTCCTTTCTTCACCCCCTGGAGTGATGTTTGGGGTTTTTTTTTTGACTCTACCGTTCTAACCATTTGTGAGCATTCAGTTGAGTGGCATTTGGTGTGCTCAAGCTGTGCAGTCATGACCATCGTGGAGGAGTGGTTTTGAAAAGACAGGGAAGACAATGTCCCTGGACTTAGGAGTAGGCCTGGGGTCCCAGCCAGAAAGCAGATGGGGCAGGGGTAGAGATGCCCAGGACAGTCGAGAGGGCAGCTGCTGCTCCCCCCTTCCCACGTGGATGCTGGTCACTCATCCCTGACCAAGTGTTGGGAGCCCTTGCTACCAGGCTCTTCCAGTCTCAGTGCTGGAGGCATCTGCCTGCCCCTGGCATACCCCAGGTGTGACCACAGGGGTGGAGAACCTGATTGCCTCAGGCCCGAGCCTCACATTCCTAGTGCTGGCCAGACTCCTGGGTGCAGGAGTGCAGCAGACTGGCTACAGCCCTTCACTCTGGGTGGGCAGTGAAAGAAGTCAGACTGGTGAGGGCGGTGCACACTCCAGGGTATGGGAGTGCTCTGAACATGCCACATCTCACACTGGGTGGGTCCCAACAGAGAGCAGCTTCCTGATGGGGACCTGGAAGGTGTTTAGAGAAGGGGGTTTGGGCCAAAGGGCACCACCCACCTTGAGCCCTCCTCCCCCCCCCAACTATTTGAGAACACAATCCCTTGAGGAATCATTTGTTTATCAGGAAGGAGCAGGGATGCAAGTCAGGAGGGGATTGCAACCCTGGAGAGAGATGGGTCAGCTAAGCCAGTAGGTACAGATCCTCCAGGGCCCGAGGTCATGGTGGATTCCAAGCCCTTTTGGTTAATCCCAAGACTGTGTGGTGCCCTCAGCCCCTCCCTGTCACCACATTCTCAGAGGGACTCCCGCACCACTCCATGCTTCTGGCCAGTGGTGGGGGTGGAGTGTGACGTGGTCAACACCTTGTGTGGATTGTGGGGTCTCCTAAGTGCACTTGGAAGGTAATTCTTGTTCTTCGTGGACCTTAGGAGGTTGAGTCATCATGCCCTTGGTGCTGGCACGGTGTCCACTTTGTCCTCTTCCTCACCACACCCGCAGGTACTGTCCAGCGCAGGAGGCTGCTTGTGGACAGGCACAAGGTCTGCCACTAGGCGGCCCTCCCTCCCCAGGGTCCCTTTGTCTCAACACTCATAGTCCTCTGGCACTTTCCTGCTTCTTGGTTCTGCTCTTCTCTCTTTCCCATGCTGGGGCCCCTGGCTCACATCCCACGTGCTCCTCTCCCCTCCTGGCCAGCTGGCATCCCTGTGTCACTCAGACAGCCTGTGGGAGAGAGAAGTTGTGATCAGCTAGCCAAGGGGAATTCCCCCACCTGGACCCTGGCCAGCTTCAGGCTTAAATTTGTATTGAGGTATGATTAACAAATAATGTTTTTAGTTTCAGGTGTGCCACACAATGATTTATATATGTGTGTATTGTGAAGTAATAACAGAAGTCAGATTAACATCTGTCCCCAAACATGGTCCCCCAGTTTTCTTTCTTTAAGCTCAACTGTCAGCAACTTAAAGTATTATTGTATATATAATAATGTAATTATATAATACTGTGATATATTGCAATACGGTATTATATTGTCCTGGGCAGCCTTCTGAGGCTGCTAGTATACCTCCTTGGGAGCCCCCGCCGAAGTCCAGTCTGCCTGGGAATCAAGACGAATCAACCCCAGTCCAGGCCCAGGCTCTTTCCTATTCAGAGAGCACAAAACACTTTGTTCAGAGGATGAGAAGCAGGCCCTCACGTCCACAAATAGAACATTACCAGCTCCTGGGAGCCTCCATTTTCTTATAGTTCCTGCCGGAGGGCTTCAGTCTTCCTGCTATGTGGAAATTCACCACAAACCCAACTGCTTGACACAATACACTTAACTGCCTCATGGTTTTTGAGCCTTAGGGTTCTCAGAGACTGCAGTCAAGGGGTCTCATCGGGGGCTGTGTGGAAGAAGGGTCCTTCCTAGCTCACCTGGTTGTTGCAGTGTTCTGTGACTTCCCAGCCTCAGCACAGAGTAGCCCACCGCGTGGACGCTTGCTTCTGCAAAGCCAGTAAGGGAGAGGATCTAGCAAGATAAGCATTGCACATGTCCTGGAGTGACATCCCATTCCCTTCTTGAATTCTGTGGGTTAAAAGCAACTCATAGTACCAACTAGCATGGCCATCATTTTAAGATGACTTCTTAAATTTTTAATGGAGGTACTGGGGATTAAACTCAGGACCTCATGCATGATAAGTATGCACTTTATTGCTGAGTTATACCCCCCCAGCATGGCCATAGTTTTAAAAGGTACAAAGGGAGGGAAGGAGAGAAAGACACAGACAGTGCTATAGAGGACTTGGAGCAATCGGAGCCTCAATGGAACACAGCCTGGCAGTTCCTCAACAATGTGAAGGGAGTTACCATAGGAACCAGCAATTCCACTCTTAGAGGTAACACCCAGGAGAGTTGAAAAGAAGGATGTAAGTACTTGTACACATGTTTGTAGTATTCACAATAGCCAGAAGGTGGAAACCAGATCTCCATCAGCAGATGAATGGGTACACAAAGCAAGATGGCTGTTCCTGCAGTGGAATATTATTTGCCCTAAAAAGGACTGAAAAGTTCTGATGCATGCTGCAACCTGAATGAGCCTTGAAAAAGGCTAGCTAGCAAGCCAGACACAAAAGGCCACATCCTGTGTGGTTACATTTGTATGAAATCTCCAGGATCAGTAAATCCACACAGAAGGTAGGTTAGTGGTTTTCAAGGGTTGTGTGGAGAGGGAAATGGACACGGGGTCTCCTTTTAGAGGATGAGAAAGTTCTGGAACCAGATAGAGGTGATGGTTGCACACCATTGTGAATGTACTAAATGCCACTGAATTGTACAATTCAGTTGGAATGGTAAATGTGTATTGTGTATTGCACTATTAAAAGAGCTACAAAGGAAGGTGACTACATGGAGGACCACCAGGAATTAGGTGCACGGGGTACACTATTGTTACTAGTGACACTTCTTTTTGCTCTATTTATGCATTTAAGTCATGTCTGATCTTTTTCCTTTATTTGGATCAGGTAAGTCACAAAGTGTAGTTAACAATATACTTGGTTTTGTTGATACCATCTTTTTGGGGGCTTTCCATTTGTCATACCCCTTCCCTTTCTTTACCTCTCCATTTTGCCCATTTTGAAGGGATTGTTTTAGAACATTTTAACATTCTATTTTTTACTCTGTGTTAGTTTGGAAATCACACCCTTTCCACCCTTTGTATTCCTACCCCAGAATTTACAGCTTGCATACTTAGTATACTGCATTAGGCTGGGTGGTAGCTCCCAGAGGCTGAGAGGTCCTAATCGCTGCAACCTGTGAATATTTCCTTATATGGCCAGAGGCTTTTGAAGATGTGATAAAGATTTTCAAATGGGGGTGACTGTTCTGGATTATCCAGGTGGGGCTAATGTATCACAAAGGTCCTTATAAATGGGAGACAGATTTAACCACTGAAGAAGGCAAGATGCTACCAGCTTTAAAGCTGGAGGGTGGGTCCGAGAACCAAGAGTACAGTTGTAGAGGCTGGAGAAGTGAGGAGAGGACTTTCTGCTAGAGCTTCCCAAGAGAGCACAGTCCTGCTGACACCTTGAGCTCAGCATAGGGAAACTGATTTTGGTCTTGTGCCCTCCTGAACTGTAAGAGAAAAAACTTGCATTGTTTTCAGTCAATAAGTTTTTGTTACATCAGCAGTAGGAAGCCGAATCTAAAGTTGATGAAAACCTGTTTGCCTCATGAGGAAAAATACTCCAGCTTAAGTTTGGTAGTTTTGGCGAATACCTCAGAACCCAACTGGCTTAGGTGCTGTGATCACCTTTACTTGGTTTCTGGTCTGAAAATTCTTTATCTTGTTTGCTCTTTGATGCTTTTAAGAAGGTTTAAACCGTTTTATCCATGTGGGTAATGTATAATTACCCATAAATGGTCCTCTCACCTCTTGTCTTGCCAGGTTGGAGGTGGAGCACAGAGCCAGCAAAGCTTTGGAATGTGACAGGGTCCAGAGGCCTAAAGAAAGAGTTAGGATATTTACAGGAAAGATGTCCCCCCAAGAAATAAAGAGAAAAAAATGGGCTATTTCAATGTGTAAAACGGACTGAAGGCCTTTGCAGGTCCACTGAGGGTCACCTGTGGGTTAACCTGACAAGAGAAGGCCGTGCTGGGAGAACGGGCAACATGCACACAGGAGTCAGGACCCAGCGAGCAGTAGTCACCACTGCCAGTAACATGGTGAGTAGGGGCTGAGGAGGGGTGCAGGCAAAGCTGTGAGGAGGGCAGTTTTGGCAGTGTTACCAAAAAGCCATAGTAGGGGGCATACCATTCACCCCAGAAATTCCACTCCTATAAAGATCCCCCAAGGAGGTCATTGTGTTGGTATGTTTGTGTGTAGAATTTTAGCTACAAGTAAGGTAAGGTTTTCAGCAAATTATTTGTGAAAATGAAAAAACATGCAAGTGAAAAATCACTCATACCCCTACCACTTTCCTTTTCTGGGATTATATGAAGTGCGGTGATAGTTGAAGTTTTCTTGTGACTACGTTAATATGAAACGACTTACTCTCTACACAATGACCTGCAGCGTGTTTTAAGAACATCTTGGCATTATTCAGTGTCTGTGCCTGGAGGCTGACGTCCCTGTGTGCCTCTACCATTGTGTTTAAACTTCTCTCATTGATGAATATGTTTGCTGTGTGCCATATTTTTTCTTATTTTTTTCTCTGCTTTGATAAACAATTCTGCAAAGAACGCCACTGTGCATACATCTTCATATGTGTGCCTGTTTTCTGGAGGATAAATCCCAGAAACAGGACTGCAGGCTTAGAGAATTTGCGCTTTGGGGATTTAAAGGACACAACCAGTGGTATTAGCTCAGATTAAATTTCCAGGACTTTTGACGGCTTTTTGCTAAACACAACCACTATTAAAAATTCAGTTATAGTACTTTACAGATAGATAGGTCATGTTAAAAACAAAAGTAGTAAATACTGAAAACTGATTATGTCTAATTATGTTACTACATTTTGCTGTATGCTCATGCCTCTTGTATTTGGACAGTGGAAATACAATGCAGTAGCGGCTACTAAACATCTCTTCCTAATTTCCCATTCGGTGACAGCCTATTTGATAGCCTGAAATCAACCATGATGGTCTATTTACACCATGGAAATTGGCCAAGTGCTGCAAATCAGCTCCCTTTCCCTTCTGCTAGAGTGCCAGTTATTAAACATTTACCAGAGCACAACTGCTTACAACTGGATTACCCTCCCAAAGGGTTTATACTAAGTTACACTTCCACCAGAAGTGTATTGGATCTTGTCTTTTTAAAAATGTTTCCCTGACAGGTGTCAATGAGCATTTTAATTTGCATGTCCTTGAGCCTCTTTGAAATGTCTGTTGGCCATTGGTACACTGAGTTGCCTGTTTGTCCTTTGGCTGCTGCTTCTATAGGGTTGACTGATGTAAAAAATAAAGATAGGGTGAGAAAAAAGAATTTGGATCTTGTAGAGAAAAGACAACCCTTTGTCTGCTGTTTGTGGCAAATATTTTTCTCCTGGTTCCTCTTTTAACTTTGCTTATGGTGTCTTTTACTCCCATACTGAGTTTTTTTTCTTTATATATAGTCCAGTGCGTCCACTTTTTCCAGGGGCACTTTGAGGATACAATTTCTTAAGAGAAATCTCTCTAAATAAATGTGCCTAGAAGGGCCTGGAAGACTGCACATTACACGTTACCTTGTCTGTGGGGTGTTTCTGCCTGTGGGTGCTGGCATCTGTGTCTGTGTGGTGTCTCTTCCGCTTTTATGCTTTCACTTATCTATGGTCAATCCAAGTCGGAAAATACCGGAGGAGGCTATAGCTCAGTGGTAGAGTGCATGCTTAGCATGTACCAGGTCCTGGGTTCAATTCCCCAGCACCTCCAGTAAAAAATAAATAAATAAACATAATTACCCAAGTCTGAAACTACTAAATGGAAAATTCCAGAAATAAACAATTCGTGTTTTAAAATGGGCAGCTTTCTAGTACCATGATGAAATCTCTGGGTGTCCCACTCCATCCTCCCAACCCTGGGACATGAATCATCTTTGTCCTGTGTATACTGTCCGTTAGTCACATAGCCTTCTGTTACCAGATGGACTGTCCCAGGAGCTCAGTGCTTGTGTTCAGAGTCACCCTTATTTTACTTCATAATGGCCCCAAAACACAAGAGGAGTGATGCCAGCAATTCAGATACGCCAAAGAGAAAACGTGAAGTGCTTCCTTTAAGTGGAAAGGTCAAAGTTCAACAAAAAATTGGATGCTGAGTTGGTTAAGATCTACGGTAAAAACGAATCTTCTGTGGAATTGTGAAGGAAACAAATTCATGCTGTCTTGCTGTCACACCTCAAACAGCAAGTTACAGCCACAGTGTGTGATAAGTGTTCTGGTGTTAAGATAGGAAAAGGCATTAAATTTGTACAGTGTATTTTGAGAGAGAGATCACATTCACATAGGTTTTAATACAGTACATTGCCATAATTGTTCTATTTTATTATTAGTTACTGCTGTTACTCTCTTTTTGTGCCTCATTTATAAATTAAATTTACTATAGGTGTGTATGTACAGGAAAAAATATAGCATACTTGGGGGTAGGTACTATCAGGTTTCAGGCATCCGCTGGGGGTCTTGGAATATACCACCTGAGGATAAGAGGGGACTGTGTGTGTGTGTGTGTGTGTGTCTCACACATGTGCTGGATCAGACCCCATTTGTTCAGTTTCCCCATGTGTCAAGGGGAAAGTAACAATAATGGAGTGTGGGACCTACTGGGATACAATAGGCAGGTGCAGCAACTGGAGTAGTTTTTCTGAAGTTTCTGCAATGAGCACGATTGACTTTATGAGGAAAAAATTTGGCAAGAAAGAAGCGCTAAGGTCTGTTTCCTGAGAAATGTGGTCCGTGGACAGGACTCTGAGCTGGCTCCCTGATCCGCCTTGTCTCCCGCTGACACACCTCCTTCCACCAGGCCCTAGCAAACCGGGGGCTCTTCACCCCAAGCCTCCCGGATTTCCAAAGTCCCCAACACCTTCCAGATGCGCTTTGTACGGTTGTGCAGTTCCGGTCCGCGCGGGTCCCTAAGTTTCTCCCAGGCTGTGCCGCGTGTGGCCTGGACTGGCCCTCCGTTCTAGGTGGATCTGAGAGCAGCCGGCAGAGTGGTCCGGCTGCCCCACCTGCCCCCCATTCCCGAGCAGCGGAAGCCCCAAGTCTGTACCTCGAAGTGGCCGCGGCCAAGGGCACGGTGGATAGGTATTTACCATGTGGAATTTGGGACCCGCTGTCCAGACTTGCCTTAGGCTACCGGGGGCCGAGCGTCCGCGCCGGTATCTAATGATTGAGGGTGTGCGACTTGGGGGTCCTCAGACCCCGTCTTCCTTTGGAAGTGATGGCCCCTCTCCCTCGACCCCGCCAGGCCTCTGGAGCGCTCCCTTAGACAGAACACATGCGCAGCTGAGGCTTTGGGGACTTCACTCAAACACTGGAGGGTCTCGCGATCATCCACTCAATTTAGCGACAGCTGGGAGCCAACGCAGAAATCACGTGCCTCAGAAACTTGTCCAGCGAGGCTTGCAGGGCGGAGCTGAAGTCTCCGGGGTAGTGCTGGGCAAGGGTCACCAGCAGGCTGTCGCCCAGCAGCTGCAGAGAAAGGGAGTCGTCCCCACTCAGGTGCATGCCCCACACCCTTCTCTGATGGGAGTCCCCTCCCCCTCGCGTGCGATCTCACCTTGAAGTTGACAGGGTCCAAGCGCAGCTTGTGCGAGTGCAGCACGCGCAGAGCAGACAGGGCGCGGGGTAGGTCATCCAGGTGGTCCAAGGCGACGGTCAGGGCGAAGGCCACCTTCTCGCCGTGGGCTCTGACCTGCGCGGAGCGGGGACTCAGGTGGAAGTAGGTCTCGGTGGAAGGGAAGGCCAGGAAGGTCCTGCAGGGGGAACGGCGAGTGAGGCGTGTCCTGGAGGTGGGGGTTGGGGAGGAAGGGGGCCGGGAGGTGTGGGGCTCATTCCCCCAGCGCGCAAGCCCGGAGGCACCGGGGCCTGTGCGCACCTCTCCAGGGCCTCGGTCGTGTAAACGTGAACGTTGCTACCCAGCTTCCTCCACAGCGCACGCACCGCAGCCTGGTCCTCTGCCGCCAGCACCATAGTGGAGCCTGGCCGGCTGCGCGCTCGGCTCCTTGGTGGAGCCTGGGCTGCGCCTGCGCCAATCGTCCCGCGGGTTCCTAAGTCCTCCCGGGGGCGCCACGCCTCTGGTGGCAGAATATGGCCCCAGAGGCACCCGGGAGCGCTCCACGGACCGTCTGTTCCGAACTTCCCAGTCTCCCTGGACCCCGAGGCCCCCATTTTGAAGTGTTTACTATACGGAAACTAATATTTAGCATGATTCTTATTATTAGGTAGCCTTGACTTTTAGCATGGATTTTGGCATTGAGTCCGTTTATTCTACCTTCCGCCCGAGTCTATTACACCTTTCTGAGTCTATTTACTCATTTATTGTATATAATGAAGGTAACTATTCCTTCTTCCCATGGTTATGCCTAGCTCGTGGCAGACACCCCTTTCAGAATAGTGAGTTTTATTGAGTGCCTAGGATGTATCTCCAAATAATAGCTAATACCTATGCGGCACTCATTCTGTGCTAGGCATCACTATACAACTCCCCCCCTTTTTAAAATTGTGGTGAAATTCATATGACATAAAATTTACTGTCTTAGCCATTTTAAGGTGTACGATTGTATCTTTAAGTACTTCACAATGTTGTGCAACCATCACCACTATTTAGTTCCAGAACTTTTTCATCATCCCAAACAGATGATGCAGTCAGTCCATAAGCCCTCCCCTCTGGCCTCTGGCAATCACCCGTCTGCTCTCTGTCTCTGTGGATTTGCCTGTTCTGGATATTTCATATAAATAGAATCCTGTAATATATGGTCTTCTGTGTCTAATTTCTTTTGCTTGGCATGTTTTTGAGGTTGTAGCATATATCAATACTTTACTGCTTTTTACGGCCAGATAACATTCCCTTGTATGGATCGATCACATTTTGTTTGTGTACTCATCTGTTGATGGACATTGGGGTTGTTTCCACCTCTAGCCATGTCCTCATTTTTCCTAATAATAAAATAAGGAAGACTACCACTTACTGGGAGCTCATACTGGGCCACTAGCTGGGCCAAAAGCACCACACACTGAGAGAGGGAATCTGCCACTACATTTTCTGAGGACGACACTTAGGCCCAGGGAAGAAAAGACACTGCTCTCATTTGGGAGCTTGATGACTGTCAGGACTGGGCACCTCAAGCCACAGGCATGAGGGGCATCCTTCATGGGGAGGACACATGTCTGAGTGCAGATGGTCTGACCCTGGCTTCTGCTCTCCACTGAAGAGCTAGGGGGGAGTCAGTGGGCCTCACAGCAGGGCAGTGGATCCTGAGCTGAGCCCCAAAATCAGATCTTCAGACCTTCAATGGCCCAGTGATGTCCTTGTCTTCAGAGTGAATGTCCTGGGGCTGTACCAGGTGAAAGGAGCGCCTTCAGGAAATTGTCTAGCCCTGGGATGGCATTGCTCACCCCTAATTTCTTCTTGACTGTACCTATACATGGGAGGCACTTGATGGGGAGGGGGCACTCAGGGTGACTCTGAAGAAGTGTGATCTCTGTGTTGTCCCCACCACTCTACTCTGGAAGAAGCCCTGGGAGGGCTCTGAGGTCCTAGGCTGGGAGTCCACCAACTCTCAGCACAAGTGTGTGCACCATAAAATATAGACAGAAAAAAATCCATTAGGTGAGCAAACTCTAGTTGAATCAGCAAGGCTCTGGAATGAAATGCAGGAAGGGGTGAATGTACTCAGCAAAGCACTCCAGGGTGAGGGTGGGCACTGTCCGGAGAATCCCAGGAAGTGCTAGAAGGACCAGCTCCATTTCCCTCCTCCCATATTCCCCTTCCCTCTCTTCCCCTGCAGAGTTCCTTGAGTTCCCAGAGTTCCTTGGTCTGTGACAAGAA